CATTGTGGAGACTGCTTCATTATGAAGAAAGGTAAGAAGGGCATAGTTATGTAAGCCAAAAAATAATATAATAATAGTTATGTATAACCCGTGACGTTTTAGATGAATAAGCATACACGGTGGCAGAAATGAACGGAATTAACGTGATAGGGTGTAATTGATTATCATTTGCATTTAGATTGGTTATATCTGTTATTATCTATTATATTGTTGATTCTATCTATTCAAAGAAAAATATAGTATAATCGTTAATCACTGTTCACTGGTATTAAAATATGTTTAAGTGAGCACTGACATATGGGTTGTTGTAGGAATGATGGTTGCTTGGCCACCTCGTTGTGTTCCGTTGGTCAAGAAAGAGCTCATGTACGCGGGACCTTTCGGTATAGCTGGTAAACTGTGTGGATGCATCTTTATCGATCGCTTTAATAAGAATAGCGCCATTCAGAAGATGAACGCAATGGTTGAAGCAGTTGTGCAGAATAACGTAAGCATAATATGGTTTTTGCCTCGCCCACAGTATGTTTGTAGTCTGTGTCAATGTCAGCTTTCAAGATCCCACTTTCTTGCCTGTTTTAACGTTTGATCAAGTTAAGATTTTTTTTCGTAATTGAGATCTGAGCAGTTTCTGTGGTGACTTCGTGTCGTGCGCGGTTGTTCAAGAGGTTAATGCTAACAGATACGCTACTTTCAAGTTTGACTTCAGTTGGATTCACTTTCTTCTTTGTTATCTTGTTATACCTTCGTCTAAATGAATGGGTAACCACTTTTTGGAAGATACACCACGCACAGCTTCGTTGTGCCTTTCTTACAGATAAATACGGAACATGACTAGTCAGAGCGTAAGTCAAATAATCGTGTCGTCTGACTTACCACGCTCTGTAATGGATGTTCGCTTTAAGAGAGGCGCAGAGCTGTTAACCGATCGCCACCTTATTGCTGGCACGCTACGCTATGAGAAATGGAGAACCATGCGACGATCTGTTGGAAGAACCAACCAGAAAATGAAACGGGAAATATTATCTTCGGCGAATACGACAGCGAAATTTGCAAACATCTTTGCACGACGGTTTGAACAGATCCCGTGATGTCAGCCGATGTGGAATCCGAGTTGCAACTCTAAGAGCGGCATATTCGAGGCAGCCGCCGAATGCAGCGGATTTAAAAGGGTTGGCCTGCCGTCTGGAGGTCAGAGAAGATCTTCATGGTGGACACGAGAGGTACAACTGGCAGTTAAAGAGAAGGCTGCATTCAAGAAATAGTTTGGAAGCGAAGAGCCTTCTACTCGCATGCGATATGTCGAAAAATGGAAGGAGGCAGCGAAAGCAGTGGAGAAGGCCAAAGCTGATTCCTGGAGAAGTTTGGGAGCTGTTGGAGTCGATTTTCCAGACGGGAAACAAGGTATTTTGACAGACCATTTGCTGGCTCTGAGGTGAAAAGAAGGACAGTCTAGAGTCTTGAATGACAGATCTAGACTCCCTCTTACCCAGTATAATGACACTCTTCGATGGAGAGGGTACCTTGAGGAACTCTTTAACCTCGAGCAGCCGCAGGAAGACTCTTCTGTAGAGCAGCAGGGAACAGACATTACTATTTCTGTAGATGAAATTACAGAAGCTGTGAAAAGCTTGGAAAGTGGAAAGGCTGCTGGAATTAATGAAATCCGTCCTGAAATGCTCAAACCATGAAGGAACAAGGCATTTAATGGCTTACATATGTGTATGTCAAACTGCAATGGCTACGAGGAAGACACCAGCGGACTGGAGAACGGGAGTTATTGTACTCGTATTCAAGAAGGGAGACCACAAGGAATGTTCGAACTATCGTGACATTACCATATTGAGCCTCCCGGGAAGGTCTGCTCAAAGATGCTAGAAAGGAAGTGCCGTGAAATAATTTTCTCCAAGACACAAGAAGAGCAATGTGGCTTCCGGTGGCGTTTCTCTCTCCTAGACTGATTTGCGTTGAAGTATAAGGAAGGTTGTCATTGAGGCTGGTTACCACAGGTAACTCATTTGGTGGAGCATCAGACTGGCAATCGAGCGATCTCAGACAATAAATCCTGCCGGATAAGCATTTCTTCCTTCCAAGTATATAAATAATACCATCATGTGCGAAGGAACCAGGAAGCTACGCGCTGTTATGATCACCAGTCTTCACGTTACTTTCAAAAATATGGTACGCCCTTGTTGATGACATAATGGAGAAGACTAACGCCTGACCATAACATCCGTAAAGAAACGATGTAATAACTGATGAAATTGACCACGAAACCAATGTGTCAAGTTTTGCAGGGTTCTTTTCTTTGCCACCGTTTATGATTGCCTGCTTAGTAGATGACCATTTCCAAGTTCAGGACAGACTTCGTATCTGCCGCAAACGGAGAATTCAGTTAATATTGCTTTTCATTGGCATGTAATCCTTTACTTGTCTGCCTGCATTCCACAAAGTAGACTAAGAGATTAGCTTTATCGACAGCAGTATGCATGAGAATGGAGATGCAGTCGCTTAGTGAAAAGTATTTCGGTCCAACATGCCACAAGTGCTGCTTCGAATCCAGGCATTGCATTGATTTTTATAATAAACTTAGTTCCTTAAGCTAGCAATTTATCTATTTGTGCTTAGATGCCACCAGCCGCAAAACCGATATGTGGACAACATGCAAAAAATTGGGCTGTACAAATTTCTGGCTTGATCGTACAAATGCCCGCAAAAGTTATGACCCGCACTGCACTGTCTGACGTATATGCTTTATGGTGGCAGTTAGCCTCTATGCATCTGTTATCTAATGGTATTAATATCTTCATCTTGCTTGACCACTTCTACTTTCGGGTCGCGGAGGCAGACGCGTCACACAGAGCTTCCAACGTTCTCGATCGTGTGCCAGAGTCTGAGTTTCGGCACAAAACAACCTTAGCTGGAACAAACTCTTTCCATATATTTGCACTAAGTTAATCTTTGCCGTCCCGTGGGACTTCTGCCAGTCGGTTGGGCAAGAAACAGTTGTTTGGCCTTCCTTTCTGGAGGCATTCGTAATAAGTGCCAAAACCATCGCAGCTGTGACTTCTCAGTCTAAAGAAGCTGAGGTTGAGCACCAAGGCTCTCGAGAATGTCTGTGTTCCGGACCAAATCCTGACAGGTAAAGCCAGCGACGCAGAAAACCTGTTTCAGCAGCTTCTACTCATGTTCCAAGCTTTTCAGTCATTGTCCACGACTCATTACCGCATTTAAGCATGAGAATAGAGATAGACTTGAATACCGAGAGCTTTGCTTTCAGATTCAGCTGTGCTTTAGTCACAGTAGTTCGCGCAGAACGCCATTGGCTACTCCAATTCGCCGGTTGATCTCTTATTCAGACTTTTCATGTTTAGTAAATACGACTCCGAGCTACTTGAATTCCTCCACCTGCTCCACTCCTTCTCGTTAATCTGACGAGAGCACTGGACAGAAGAATGAGAAGCACTAGGCTTTTCGATTTACATGGGTTCACACGCATGCCGGTCACGTCGCACTTGGATATGAATTTTTCCAGGGAGCACTGTACATCAGTTTCAGAAGATGCCAGTAAAGCAAAGTCGTCTGCAAACAGCAACCTTCTCATCTCCACGTTTCCTACACCGATTCACTAATCGTCTTGGCTGCTCCTGACTGTTCAATC